GCCCGTCAGACTTTTCAAGTCCAAAAGAATGTACTCCTTTCCAGATCACTTTTTTCTTGAGATGACAACAGCTCCTCTAATAGAACGAATGATGATCTTGAATCAAATCGTTTCGGAATGTGTCGAGGATGAGAACGAGCATCCACTGCATCATTGACGTACGGTCGCGCCATGGCAACTTTTACGCTCTATATTGCATATCATCCGCCAACATCTTTTGACTTAACCGTCGCAACTATTTTCCTCTCCCCGAGTGTGTGTTGGCTTTCCATCTTGTCTGTAAATTGGATCTGGGATCAACGCCCCCCCCTTTCCGCCGATAAAAATGAAAGCCACCCGTCGAATCGAGAAACGGGCCGGAGGCACACCGCAGCGATGAATTCCTGTGGCGATGCCAAATTGTATCCCCCCGCCGGCTCCAGGACATAGAGTCTGTAATTAATAAACATGAGGCTCCGTGACATCTGGAAACGCTTTGAACAAGGGCGCGTCGTCACCGTCTTCTTCGTGGGAGTACGCGTGCAAAAACACAAGCGGAGGGCAAATTGCGCCAAGAAAACGTAGCCCCGCTCGACCCTTGACAGCCTGCTTAACCTCGCCTGGGGGGGTCAGGGGGTTTTACCGTCATTCCACCGACGCAAATGGGCAGCTCCGAACTTGCCAGCCAGCTTCTCGAAAAGGGCCGCCCGCTGACATGACGTGGATTCGGATCACAAATGACAATGACGTGACGCGCACGCAAAGGCCGGCACGTCACGACGCCGTTAAAGAGCAAGAAAGCCTCACGTGTCGTAGTCTTGCTACAAATAGAAAAAAAAGAACGTGGGGCGCATAGGACGAAAGCTGACTAATTCCCGATGAGCGCGCCTACAGTGAGATCCATTTGCTGCGGTGTCGAAATGTCAAATGAACGAGCGGTGTCAAAATGCTTTCCGAGGACCCCAACTCATGAAAGACGCGCACAAATACGGTCACGCCAGGGCCGGTTTCAGGGATTATTTCGGCGGATACTCGACAACCCGGCCGGGGGTAAAGAACAGATCCCCGTTCCGAGAAACTTACCCTGGAAAGCGTCATTTTCTGGCCGCGCGTCCAAGCAACGGGACGAACATGAGGGCTTCTTCTCCAGCTGGCACCCAACGAGCAGTCGGGGACGGCAAAACGTCTTGACAGGTGGCAATTTGGCAACACCGCTCCGGTGTCAATCGGGGAGCCGCGGGCCAGGCAATGACGCGCTGACAAAAACCACCGAGATTCGGCTGTCAAATGCTTTTTTTCCCTCTTCTTCTTCTGTCTGAAGGAGATCTGAAAAGAAATGGAAAAAGGGCAGCGTACGGTCACGACTGGACCACCCTGTGCGCAGCTTGGCTCAAGCAAAGTGGCTCTATCACGAACCTACTTGCCGGCCGTGCGAACGGAGCCCTGGTCACAATAAGCTTTTGGATGAAAAAACAAACACAACATTTGCGATCATGAACATCAAACAAGTAAATAGAAATTTCGGCCAGAACGGCGCCGTGGTGCCATATCTTCACGGCACGGAAAAAGTCGGATGTCAGGAATTATGTGCGGCCCGGGGTGGACATTGTCAAACATGAGATGGTCCCTGATAGCAAAGCGGTTTTCCGACCCGCAGCCGTCGATTATTGAAGAGGGAGATGAAGAAGTACACGGCAACTATTCATCGGAGGAACGGAAGTCAAGCGGCGTGTCCAGATCAAATGTCTTTTACTTTTCAAGCTCTGCCACGAAAAATAATCATGTAATTCCATTTTTTACAGAATGAGGAAAACACACACTGTCGATATCTTTAGAAAACGAGTGGAATGCCTGAAATGGATTTGCATGTCTCACTTTGTGCTGATCTTCCGCATCGAAGAGGGAATTTTCTTTACAGCTCGCTAATGAGTTCGGCTCACAGTTTGGTTGGGGGGGCGGGGGGGAGTCAACGTAAAAGCAAAGACGCTTTGGTTTAGCCGATAATATATGATGGATCAATGTTGTTTCCTCTTTCACACATCTCTAAGCGGGGATGAGCCGCCGCTGTGGGAATTTCCCCCCCGGCTTCCAATTGCAGATATGAGGAAATTAAGGGCTAAACAATGTGGGAATAATCCAATGACTGCATGGTCAGGGAGCGTATGCGGAGGAGGAAACGTCTTGAATCCAACCTGCAAACTCGGCTGTAATGACTGAAGCGCTGCAGTGTGTACACAAAGGGGCCCCCGCCCGCCTGCCCGCCGCCCGCCCGCCGCCGCCGCCTTTTTTTCCCTTCAAGGTCACTTATGAAAGAAAAACGTCAAGCGAGAGAGGAGGCAGCTCTTGGCTCCCGCTTGAAATCCTTGTTGCGACGTTCGCCAGTCTACGGAGAATGTTTTCATTAGCGCGGGTTTGTTTGCCAGCTCTTGCGGATCTCCGTTGGCTGCTTTGACCAAAGGAGGTGACAGAATACAAGAAAGTGCTCTCAGAATCACAGTGTGTGTGTGTGTGTGTGTGTATCTGGAACCAAATTGGGTCAGAAAGGGGCTGACCCCCAATTTGGGGGCGGGGGGGGGGGTTATCTGACAGTAAAGCTCATCCTTCTTTATTTGATTTGTTTTACGCCTGTATTGGCATTTGTGCAAAAACAGGTAGGCGACTTTCATTGTGTTTGCATTTGGCAGCACTACGTGACGCATTTCTCGCTGGACAAAGGTGTGTCGAACGTCACTTCAAAATCAAGTGAGAATGGCTCAGCGCTCACAGTGCGTTGAATCGTTCTTTGTGGAGAAGAAGTGAAAACGATGTCACGGTCTATCGTGAGCTAAAATGGCCAACGTTGTCAGATGTCGCCCGGCAGGCACCCTGATGGGGAGCGACGATACGAAAGCTAACTGCAAGCGTGATCTCGGCAGCGCCGTGTCAAGTAGTCAGCGAGTCTGCCTCACAGTTTCGAGTCGGGGGTTTGAATGTCGGAACTCCAATTTCGCCAATTCTTTTTCGTCTCTCTCTTTTTTTATTTTTTTAGGTGGAACATGACCCCGAAGACCAAAGTCAGACATTGACGTGTATGAACGATATTTGCTCGAGGTCAGCTGGTCACATTGTGAGAATTGTACTAGCTTGTGAACGTAGCAGGACCGCGTTTCAAGCGGTTATGTGATCGTGATGGGGGGGGTGGGGGGGCACACCTTTTGCTAAAATAAATAAAGAGCGAGGCACCCTGCTTTCACAGCCAGCAATAATAGCAGCATCCTTCACCTTGAGCACCTGATGTCGAGCTCGCGAGTCCCAAAACAATTTCACTGCGTCTGGGGGTGTTGTTTTCGATGATTAAAAAACAAAAACAAAAAGCAAATGAACACAAAAGGGATGAAGCTGTGGCACTTAGTCACAGTGAGGAAAATTGAAATGATCCAAGATTCTGCCTCACCTTTCTCTCTTCTTGTTTTAACGAGCCCATTACTCATTCATGCGTCGAAAGCCCCCTTGAGCACCCTCGTCATTTCAGCCCGCGTCGGCTGCAGAAAATCCCAGCGGCTCTCGACGCCGCCAAACCCTTGGCGTTCTCATCGCGTTCCATGAGAACATTTGCCATTCCGCCGCGGACTCCCTTCGAGGTGAGAGAAAAGTCCTCCGCGTTTTGGAAAGGACAGACACAAACACGGGACAAAAGGGCGCGAGCGCTGTGGGAAATGTCAAACGGAAAGCAGGGACGGACTTTAATTAATACGTCGACCTTTGCGTCCTCGTCAGACTGACTTTGGCGCTTTATTATTGGACCCGGGGATGGGTTTGGACGTCAAAGCGGGCTCGTAAAACCGGGCCTTCTGTCCAACGTCAACGGAGCGGCTACGCGTGGCGCCTTCGACGCCTCGGGACCGAGCGTGAGAAATGCGGGGCTCCCAGCGCGGGGGGGGGGTGGGGTGAGTACGCATCCAACACGCTTTGAAGTTCTTGGAAATGTGGCAAAAGAGCTTGTTGAGCACGCCGGCAACACTCCAGCTAACAAGTGGAGAGGCTGAAAGGGAAATGGGGGGGAGAGGAGAATAAAAGCCTGTGGCGGATAGCGGATGGCTCTGGCATCCCGCAAATCGCCACACTTGTTTTGATCCTCAGGTGTTTGCGAGCGTGCGCGTCTGCTGCAACGTTCGCTCCCTTCGAAGAAATAAGCTGCCATTTGTCTTTCATCCGACACAAGTTTGACACGGACGCGTTGTCGGCTCGCGCCGAGGGCGCCCGCGGTTCCGTTTGTTCCGTTTTGTTGGAAAGCGTGCGCAACGTCACTATTTGTTGCAGCTTCGCAATTGTTTCACAATCTCACATTCACGAATGCACTCTTGATATCCGTTTGGAGCAGAGGAACGACGGTTCCCCATCTGCGAGCGAGCTTCTACTGAGCACCGAAGACCGCGAGCACGTTGGAGGCTAAAGTTCAGCCTAAGATCTTGACGATGGCATAACACGGGCTCCCGCGGACCCCGACGTATATGCACGACCTTCATCCAGCTGCGGCCCCGATGGGTTACGCAACGTCCTGGCTCACAATCACACCACCCCGATGGTTGGGAAATATTCACGCAACCGACGACATTCTGGCCGCCGTGGTTCGGGAGAAGGCTACGAGGAACGTACGGTACCATCTGGAAAGCTGAGAATTCTAGCAAGGGCCTGAAAGGAGCAAAATCCATCTTCCATGCATTGCTGCTCGGACATCAATCAGCGTTTGCTGGGGGTTCATATTGATCAACCAGGTCAGGTGATCTCACGGCATGCCTCCTTTGTTTCTCAATGTAGTCATTACAAGCTGACATGACAATTGTGTGACCTTTGGACAAAGGCACGCCATCACAAACCAGTGGCGACTGGCAGCCCGTGAATCCACCGCTTGATTCATGGGGGGGTAAGGGGGGTTTGGGCCCTTCAGCATCGGTTTTCCATACAAATGTGGCTTTGACTGGCACTTTGCTCAACTTCCTCAAAGCGCTTTGGGATTCATCCAAAAGATGAATGATGTGGAGTTTCGTTAGAGCGACGCGCCACACACGATTTTTTTTTTTTTTTTTGGAAACAGAGCGAATGTTTTGTGATGTAACTGAGGTGAAGCCAGTGATAGAATGTGTGTTTTTTCTTTCCTAACTTTCAAAGGAACCTTGGGGAAACAAACGGTCACAAACTGGATTGCTTTTTGCTTGCAATGCGGCGCGTCCACAACGTGTATTTTCAAAGGTGACAAAAACGCCCGACAGACATTAATGGTCATAAGTGGCGCTCCCAGTGTCATTTCATCATTCGGTCCTTGCCTTAAAATGCTTGTCACAATCTGCCTAACGGACCGAAAGCATTCAGAGCGGATGCGCGGGCGCGTGTACTGCACGCGCAAGCCAGCACAGGCCATCGTGCCGTGTGCCCGGCCGGTCTGTCGCGTGGCGTCGCTCGCCCATCTGTTGAGCGGAAGACTGAACGCAAATGTCGGCGAACGACAGTAACACGCATTGGGGGAGCTCATCTTTTGCGGAAGCGAGCGCTCGCTCCGAGGCTCAAAGTGGCGTTGAAATAAGATGGAATCTCGACGTGTTCCAAAGCAAACAGGCACTCTCTACTTTGGTCTCGGCCGCCTGAGAAATGCTCTGGGATTTGGGATCGACTGCATTGCTATGTTGGCCGTGACGACATTGTCTGCCTCCTTCATCTGATATTAAAGAGTATTTTTCTTTGTCTCCCCCCCCCCCCACGAATCCCATCATTCCCATTAGAAATTCAAAATGTTCTGATCATTCAATTCACCCGGAAAAACCCCAGACCAAAATGTTGTCATACGTCGACCGTATATCGTTTCTTCACAATGACTTTTGCTTGCATGAACAAAATAAGATTCTCTCGATGTGTGTGAGGATGCTCAAGGGCGTGTGAGCCTCTCTCATTGCCTCCTCCTCCTCCTCCCTCCTTCTAGCTCCTCCTCCAGAACGCATGGACGTGTTGTTGGTGTCAGGAGGAGCAACCTGCTCTTTGTGCGCAGCCAGCGAGCGAGGAAAGGAAGGAAGGAAGGAAGGTGGCGGGCTGGGAAGGGAGTCGGTGTGCGCTGTGCTTTTCTCCTCCCAACTCGGCGCTGCGGCGTACCTCTCAGCACGCTTCTGCCGGCGACGGGAGCGCGAGGTGCCGCGCTGGGATAACGGGAAGCCTCCGGTGCATCGTGTCAAAGTGAGTACATGTCCACGAACAACATCTTGCCTTTTACGCTCAACGACGGCTCGTTACATTTTGCGCATATTATCTTGGTGGTTTGACGTGAGGGTCTGTGAGTTTGTGGGGGGTGGGGGGGAGCGGTAAAGCTTGCAACTTTCTACTGTACAACATTTGCATGCGCAGTTTTCCATTTTTAACTGCATAATCACTGCATGCATTTTGATCGGTAAATCCACGTTTTAAAAGCATTCCTTGCTGGCAAAGTCATCCTTAGGACAAACACTTGGGCTTTAGATTTGGTGCTTTTAAGGCTGCTGGCCCATGTATTGGGCCAGCAGCCCCCCCCGCCCCAAAAAAAAGAAAAGACCTGCATGTGTTGCAGCAACTGTTGCACGCAGTATTTTTTCAACAGAAATCACTTTCGGCATTCTTGGCTGGAAAGGTTGTCACAGGTCAACGTATATCCGCAAAACAAAGAAATTGGGAAATACCCAAATGCTTTTTGTCGTGCCGTGACAATATTTTTTGCATATGTAGAAAATTGCCGCTGTCCTGTGAAAAATACGGATGTACATTTTTTTTCATTTGACATTTTATTACGTAAGAGGGGTGTCCACGTTTTGTTCATGACAAAAAATGTCCAAAACGGACGCATGACATGGTCAACGTGCAACCAACAAAACATCAATCTATACATTTAGTAAGTTTAAGTCATAAAAAAAGCAAGCCGTAACATTTGGAGATCCAAGACATGGTCTCTGGAATTTTAGTTTTGGTGTAGAGCACGTCGGTTATTGGGATGAAAATAGGCATCTGCAATTTGGACTGCGATGGCAACAGAGAACTTCCTTTGGGCGTAAAACGTGACTCGCTCGTCTTTGCGTCATGTTGTTTGGCAGGCCGAAACCTTGGTGGGTGAGTGTTGACAATCCCACGCCTGGATCGTGGAGCAGATGTCCCCTCATTTCCCTAATGAAGATGCGCATAGAACGCCGCGCCGTTTCCCCAACCACTCGCCCCCACCAGCGCCACCTGCCTCCAAATCCACCTCGCTGGTAGAAATAAGAAGCAGGCCGGAATACATTAGCTACTGTGACCTTGAGAGACCGCTGTGCTGTCTTTCAAGAGGAGGGTTGTGGGGAGGGGGGGGGGGGGGTTGTCGGGTATGGGGGCACACGGGGGGATATGGTATGGGGGCACACGTGGTGATATGTGGGGGTGCCCGCTCGCAATTATTAACGAGGGCAATTCTAAGTTGAAGAGACCAAATGAGAGCTATTTTGGACCTTGTCGCTCATCCTTGCTGCTGATGAGCAATCATTTAAGGTGTGTGTGTGTGTGTGTGTGTGGGGGGGGGGGCGGCGCAAAAAAGGGAGGATTGCCTAGTGAGGTCAAGTAGCAAGACTTTCAGAGCGGGGAGTGTTCGCACCCCCCGAGGTGGTGACCTCGTGTGCGAGTCTTCCAAGTCCGTTCATGCCAAAAACTTTTGGGGGAAAAAAAAATGGATGGCGCTCAGTGAATCTATGAGCATGTTTTGTTCACTCTAATTTGGTCGTCTTGCATTCCCCGCGAATTAGACAGTAGCCCGATAGCTAAAAAATTCAAAGAACAAAAAGTGGAAAGTATTGACAGTTCTGCCTTGGTGGAGGCGTTGCAAGGAGCCGCAAACACATCCGACAGAGCGGAATGCTTGTTCCAGTCGGCAGTTGGAGTGCCACCTGTTGCTTTGGCATACGCTCGACAGACTAGGAACGCTCCTTTGGAAAGACGGATCTTTTTGTTCCTCGGACAGGAAGTTGGGGAACATTTGTTGTTTTTGCCTGTACGGACAAAATATTGGAAATACTGTGGCGGGAGACGAGGGATTGGGTTCTCTCCCTCGGGGCTAATTATTGGACTCCAAGGTGACCGTTTGTACAGGAGCTTTTCCAGAGCCAAAAGGGGACGGCTGCGTTCCCAGGTCGTTGCGCGCCGAGGTCTGGCCGGCGTCACTGTTGGGCCACCAGGGAACTGTGCCAAATAGATTGCCTGCGACGCTCTGTTGGATTTTTCCTCCACTGTACCTCCCCAGCTTTGCTGATTGGCCCCCTCTGTTTCCACTTAACTCTTCTGGCCGTTATCCAGATGACACCTCAGCAACATTTGGTTTTTTTCCCCCCTTCCTTCTTTATTATTTCCTAATGCGTGAACACGGGGGGGGGGGGGCTGGCTTATGTGCTCTTGGACGCATGGAGCATACACCAGAAGCTACTATTTGGAGAACGCGATTCCTTGTCCAGTAAGCGGTTCCCAGATGACGATTTAAAGGCGGTGCGCTAACAGCCCTCCCGCAGATAGAAACGCACTTAGGAGCCTCCTGCAATTTGGCTTGGCGTTGATGTTTAACGCGCTTCAGACGGACGCTCGAAGCGGACCGCGTTGGCTGAGCAAAAGTCGTCTGCCGCCTTGCCTGCGCTTTTCCATGTTTGCGTCCGTGTTTGCGCTTTGCGGTGGCTAAAAGTGCACCGGATCATATTTGGAGGCGTTTCATATTGAGACGACCTTATTTCGCCACACGCTGACCAATCGACATGGAAATCCAATTTCTCGTCGAGGAGAAATTCCACAGAAATGCCACAAATTTGGCTGAAACGTTCATTCTTTTATATTCCTATTCAAATTGCCTTTCAATTCAGATTTAATGGATGACATTCACATGACAACAAATCAACACATCACTCTACAAAGCACAGACTTGTCAGGCAAACTGATACATTGGGTGTGAAAACGTGTTTGGCAATGTGACAAACGTACACATGGCGGATTACTGCTTGTGCCCCAATGTTTAGTCTCCAAACAATCACGAAGAGCTCTATTTTCTTGAACGGTGCAAATCGTGCGGGGAGGCGAGACGGACACGGCGCCGGTAAGCTCGCAGATGGTCGCGGGCCGCCGGATCCGAGAGGGGCAAGTCCGCACCGCTGCGGGCGCGGTCGCAGCCGACTTCGATCGCGGCAAAGCCGAGCTCTCGTTCTCTTTCGACGCGGCAAACGAGTGGCGCGCTCACGTCTCGGCATGGAGCGGCGCACATCTGCGCTGTCGGGTGGTAACCTGATGATCGTTTGTATGGAAATCTGGATCCGCTTCTTCTTTGACTTTTAGCGCGGGCGGGACAGAAACATTTCGTGTTCTTTTGTTGCCATCATTTCCACCACCCTTCTGTCGTGACGACAACAACAAAAAATGCAAAGGGATCTATCTTGAGCATCCAATTCTACGCGCTTTGAGCACGGATGAGCTGGTGTCCGCAGAAACTCCCCATGGCTTCCTTCTACAGCGTATGTGCATGGAAGCAAGACCTCGCGACAGACTTCCGATGTGCCGTATTGTCTGTTTGAAGGACACAACTAATAGTCAGGCCTTGCGGCCGCACCGCGGGCGGCCTCCGCCCGGTAGCCGCCATAATTGGCGGGCAAAGCCGGAAAGCACCTGGCCAAGCCTTTTAACCGTGGCCAGCCGCTCGTAGGAACAGCTAAATAAAAAGGGGGGGGGGGGGCATCAAAGCGTGCCCCGAGTTGGCCAAACAGGACCAAGTACAAAGGAGTGTTTGAACAACAACTTTGAATGGGAGGACAGTGTAAAAAAAAAAAAAAAAAAAAAAAAAAACAGCCTCAAAATAGGGAGCCAGGCTGTTGGTACGGTGCCGTTCTACACTGCGGCAAGCACAATAATAAACGTGATACAAGGCGCATTCATATTTCAGTCATCTTTTAGGAAATACCGTCTATTGGATGCGCTGAAATTGTTCAGGTGTAAATCCGTAAGCGGGGCCAATAAAAACGTGCTCGCTAACCCTGACAACAGTCGTTTGTGGCATGACAGCAGACCGTCAAAAAGGCTCCACCGGCGACTTGAGACTCCTTTCATTTCCAAACGCGTCATGCACGCCTTTGTTCCCGACTCATGATGTGAATTTGCAACTACGGCGCGTTGCGGCCTCGGGGCAGACCCTGCTGCGGTTGGACGGCCGCGAGGGCAAAATGAATGAAAACGTATATGAAGGCGACCGGGAAGAACACTTCGCGGCACTCGACGGGCCAATCCGAATAAATGGCCGCCCTAATGACTGACAAAATCACGAGTTCCTCCGATGCTTCCCCACTATGGGCGCTTAATAGCGGCCCATTCACATACTTTGGGAAAACAGCCCGTTTTGATGATGAAATGGAATCCTCCTGGACTGGAAATGGGGAAGAATTTCACTCCGGAGGTCCTCTCAGGACGAACGGGAGAGGAGAAATGTCAACATTTTCCTCACCGCAAGGAGCACCTGAGACAAGCTTGGCGGGAGCGTCGAACGCTTCGGCGAGACGACGGCCCGGAAAGCGGAGACGTTACTTTTCGTGACATTGTGCCGCTCCTTCGGTCATGTGCGGATGAGCCACCCGGTGGCAGGAGGCTATATTACAGATACACGGAATGTACGCCTGGAAGCTGCAGCCATACGAAATTGGGATGATTATTATTTGCCGTGTCGCCGTGCTTCCTGAATTGTCGGGTTAGATCCCAAATACGATCAATACTTGCTTCAATTTGTTGAAC